CAGTCTCTTTGAGTGTCCCGTGTGCTTTGACTATGTGCTGCCACCGATCCTGCAGTGTCAGAGTGGCCACCTGGTCTGTAGCAACTGTCGCCCCAAACTTACCTGCTGCCCCACTTGCCGAGGCCCGCTGGGCTCCATCCGTAACCTGGCTATGGAGAAAGTTGCCAATTCTGTACTATTCCCGTGTAAATACGCCTCTTCCGGCTGCGAGATAACTTTGCCACACACAGAAAAAGCAGACCATGAGGAGCTGTGTGAGTTTAGGCCTTACTCCTGTCCCTGTCCCGGTGCTTCATGTAAATGGCAAGGCTCTCTGGATGCTGTAATGCCACACCTGATGCATCAGCATAAGTCAATTACGACGCTGCAGGGAGAAGATATAGTGTTCCTGGCCACAGACATTAATCTTCCTGGTGCTGTTGACTGGGTTATGATGCAGTCTTGTTTTGGCTTTCATTTCATGCTAGTGTTGGAGAAACAGGAAAAATACGATGGTCACCAGCAGTTCTTTGCAATTGTACAGCTGATAGGAACACGCAAGCAAGCAGAAAACTTTGCTTATCGACTCGAGCTAAACGGGCATAGGCGGCGATTGACTTGGGAAGCAACTCCTCGATCCATTCATGAGGGAATTGCAACAGCCATTATGAATAGTGACTGTCTAGTCTTTGACACCAGCATTGCACAGCTCTTTGCAGAAAATGGCAATTTAGGCATCAATGTAACTATATCCATGTGTTGAAATGGCAATCAAACTTCTTCAGGCCAGTGTTTAAAACCGTTGCATTTAATTTAGCAGAAATAGGGTAACCATCTTTGACTGTCAGACAAATTATTTGGTAGATGGAGGGTAGACATAAATGAAGGTAAATAAAAGGAAAGGCTGTTAAATTACAGGAAGCAGTTGCATGTAGTAACTAATATATTTAAAATAAGTCAACAGTAAACCACTGAAAATATATATACACCCAAAATGGGCATCTTTTGTATTAAGAATTGATTCTACAGGAAATGTTGTAAAATAATTCTAAAAACTTGTTTGTAGATTGATTGTACTGTTGAAAAGGATACTGTTTCGTGTTTTTGTTTGTGTTTTTTTCCTCCCCCTTTGACTGACAAGCCATGTTGAGCGGTCTAGTCTCTGACCGCTGCTTCCCCTCCTCCTCCCCACCTCCCCTTTGTAAGTCACTACATAGTATTGCTGCTGTTTGTGTATATTTTTTGTGTATTTGCTAATTTTTATTAACTTCTAGTTTTTCATTAAATAAATATGACTTTCTTTTCTGTAATTCAGGTTTTTCTCTTTTTTGTATCTTTTTAAAATTAATTACAGTTGTCATCTTTTGATATGCATAATTGCTATGGTAAAACTTATATTTCTGTATGTTTGGTAAATTTTGTCTCTTTCCAGTAGTCAATTCATTGGTGATACTGTTCTTAATTGAGCTATTTGTGAATGTACTGAACTCGAAAGGAGTGCTTATGTTCAAAGATGTGTCAGGAAAGACAGCTCCTTTAAAAACAGGTCTAGATGTTGTTGTACTTTGAGTTATCTTCTAACAAAAATGAACAATTATTAAGAACTTTCCGAATTAAAAAAAAATAGTAATTCACATTTCAAATTTAGAGATGCTTAGAAAATTGATTGCATCCTTGTATTTGTTGGTTTGCAGTACAAAGAAAGTATTGTATTACACAATATTTGTAATTATAAAAGCAGACCATTTGTCTAAAAAAAAGGCAGTCAGAGTGAGATGTTTTCAGTCTTTTTATATTTGTCATTAAAAGATTACCTGGCAAATGAAAAAAAACACAGCCAACTTCTGCTTTTTGCTTTAGCTCAAAGTTTGACACGTTGATGCTCTTGCTTAGTTTCTTGTCTTTATGTCTTTTGGTTGTTACTAAAGCAACTGTCTGGAACTGACTTTTGTATCATTTTGCTGACATGATCCACATGACAATGCAGATAAATCTCTTCCAGGTGTGACTGACCAGCCCTAAAGGCTTCGGAAGGATACTGGGCTTTATGCAGACTGCCTGTATGTGCAAACTGAACCACAAATGTAAACGGGATTTGTGTTACAAAACAGACACAGACAAGAGCAGGGGAAAAGCTGTTCCACCTCGAGCGGGAAGATCTGTGTCAAACTGAGTGGTAGTGGATGTGTCAGGGAGCTGGTCTGGTTATTGACTACTTTTGTAACACATTAAAATACAGTTTATTTACTGTGCACTGTCTTAACTTTCTTATCAGAAATTGATCTGTTAAGACAACTCTTGTTCTTACTGTTTTTGATGCATGATGAGGTAAGTAGTTCTACAGGTAAGGAACATAAAATCCATTGGGTTGGATTAATAAAATATTACAGGAATAGTTGGCTTCATGTAGAAAAAGTTTCACTCTGAAAATTTGATACTTAGATTGTTTGAACTGTGCACAGATGTAATTTAAAAGATGTACTGGTACCTTGTGACAGTAGATAAATGCTTCCAAAACTCCTGCAATCTAGCATTTTATTCATTTTGAATATACAGCCAACTGTTTGCAGTTTTCTAAATTCAGTAATTACTCTCACCTAATTAAGCTTGTCTACAATTGCCTCCAGTTTGTCTTTAACAGAAAGTTTGCTAAATACTTGTTTCAGAGGAGCCCAGGTCTCCCTTGTTCCTGGTGCCTCCCTGGCTGGGCTGAGCCATTCCAGCTCTGGTTGTGCCAAGGGAATTGGTGGAGAACCTTTGTGCCCCCTGTGATGCTGCCGAGAGGCCAGGGCTGTGCAGGTCACTGCTGCTGTGGTTGGGAGGGCTCAGCTGGGGCTGTGTCCCCACTGGCACCCCTGAACGCTTGTGCTGAGCTGCAGTGATCTGGTTTAGGCACAGTGGGCTGGAGGTCAGGGCTGTGCTCTGGAAGGGGCCCTCAGGAAAGGCCTTGGCAGTGAGCTTTAGATGCTGCCTGCTGTGCTCAGGCAGGTTGGTTCATGTTTCACAGAGGACAAGAGCTATAGTATAACTACTGTATGCTGACTTACTGTAATGTAAATTAGTACTGCTCCATTTGGTGTTAAATAATTGTATAAAACCTTTAATATCCATCATCAGATGGAATTACGAAATTAGCCTTAGGCCCAGATCCTCAAAAGTATTACAAGCCTAAAGAGTGTGAGGATCTGGTAAGTCAACTACACTGTTATATATGAAAAAAGAAACCATACTAGAAATCTGTACAGTTTACTACCTTATCTTAAATAAATGGTGTATTAAAGCCTGGCATTGTCTTAACATTAGCTATTTATTTTAGAAAGTGCTGTTTTACTTTGCTGTATTGGGAAGGAGTATTCAAATTTGTCTCTACAAGATGAAACACAGTAGATCTTGCATTTATCTGCTAGCACCACCTCCGTGGTTTTTCATTGCCCTTTAAAATAAAAAGGCCTTAAAATGTTTGACAAATGTGGATGTAAATATTTTGATTCTGTTGTGACAGTTCCTGCTAGTTCTTGTTTGCAGCAGTGCTTTAAAATTAAAGCAGGTAAATGGTTTTGTATTGCTGCCTGTCCTGTTGTTTTATCCAGAATCTTTTCCAAACTGCTGTGATGAAAGGAGAGTTGTTCCAGTGGGATAGTTACTGTCTGTAGCACTTTATAGTGTGAATAGAGGAAATGAGCTGCCACTGCTTTTACTTTGATAAGCTTCAGCTAATTTGGGGTGTTTTTCTGAGGGACACAAATTTGTTTGGGTCCATCTAAGCATTCCTAAGCAGGTGCTCCACAGGGTATTGACATCCCTTCAGAAGTTGTGCACTGCTCTGGCTCGCTGCTGCACAGATTATTGTGCTCAGTGAAAGCAAAACAAAAGCCACCAAAGTGTGGCTGTAGTGCCTGCTATAATGGGTAATGCTTGTGTTTTGTTTCAAAAAAATCTCAACACAGTAACAGCCTCAGCTCTGGCAGCAGGGACAAGAAAAGCTGGCAGTAAATGCCTGGCATTATCTTCAGAGTGGCATTAAACCCCTCACCTTCAGGTGGAGTCTGTGGAGACTTAGGAATTGGAGTCACGTGTAAAGGATGACAGAAAGTCATCCTTTAACTTTTCTGGGGAGCAGCTCCCTGTTTTGCTATGCTGGAAACTTTTTTTTTTCAGTAGTCGTTATTCTCTTTAAAAAATGCAGGTTTGTTTTGTCCATATGTAAACAGACCATGCTGGAATTCAGAACATGTCAGTGCTTTCACAGTGCAGGATTGCTTCTCCAGCTCTTGGGTAAAGGATTTTTCCTTCCTGGTTTGATAAAAAGCAAAGCAGCAGAACAGAGTTACCAGGCTGGGGTTTTACCCAGGGGGAAGTAGCTTTGCACTTCTTTCCTGCACCTTTCTCATGAGGCAGAACATGGGGCTGTTGGCTGTAGAGCTCTTAAAATACTGACACAGAAGCAGGTTTTATTTTTATCATTTTATTAGATTAAGTCTTTTGTCAAAGTTGTAAAATCTTTTGTAAAATAGGTGTTGAAATTTCACTGGATTGATTATTATCAGTGCTGTTGTGTTCCAGGTAAATCAGCTTTGTTAACTATGAAAATGAAAGCAAAGCAAATTCTTACTTTTGATTTTTAGGCAGCTTCTAGAACAGGCTCTTGTCACTGGTACAGTCTGTGTTTCATAAGCACTTTGGGGTTTGTTTCAGAACCAGTGAACAAGAGAAGGATGTAACATCATCCAGGATTTGCTTGTGGGGCTGACTCTGGAATAAACAATGCCAAAGGCCCAGATCACACACTGAAGTGCAGTATTTAATTTCCATAGGTGAACCTCCAAGCATAGGCATCCTGGAACCAAATGGGTGTGTAGTGGGTAGGAATGAAGGACACACACTGTCCCTCCAAAACATTACTGGGTTTTTTTCATTAAGGCCTCAAGCACACATCACCTGCTGCTGCAGGGACAGCTGTGCAGATGGGAACTGATGTGTTCTCTCCCTTCCTACACAATTCCTACATTTCTGCTTCCTGCTTTTGAAAAAGGATGGCTGCCGTGGCCTTGCTACAAACTAGAACCAAGTGCTGAAAGAACTTCCTAACTTCATTTATTAGGCCATAATGCTTCAGATGCCTTAGGCGTATTTTTTTAGATTTCAAAAACCTTATTTTCCCCTGATACTGCTCCTTAGCACATTATTATAGATATTTTGTAATAAGTAAACTTGCACTAAATCAGTTTGCTTTTTGTAACAACCCCACTATGAGCCTCTCCTGCTGCACATTATTCCCTCTTTAAGGATGGAACCATGCTGCTGCCATGTACATACATAGGTGCCAGACAGGCTAAGGAATTCTTCTTCATGCTTAAATGCCTCAGGAAATGCAAACGCCCATGAGGTGCAATTTCAGGTTGGTAACTGGAGCAGCAACATCTTCCTTTTGCAGAACAGTCCTGTTTGGCTCATAGTTGTACCTGATACCTAAATGTAGCTGAAAGAGATCAAGGACTATGGAATTGCAGAGAGAAGTAACTGCCTAAAGTTTGCTATTCAAGTGCTCAAGCCTGGTCTTGACTGCAAAGCCGCCGTCGAAGGCTGCGTTCAGCACCTCGTCCAGGCACCCGGCCAGCACAAAGGTCAGGTCCTGCCGCACGTGCGCCGCAATCTCCTCCAGGTCTTTCTCATTTCTTTGAGGAATGATAATTCTCTTCAGTCCAGCTCGGTGTGCTGCCAGCACTTTGTCTTTAATTCCCCCAACCTAAGAAGGAGAAGAAATAGACATATAAAAACAATGAACTAATCTAACAATTATTGTAACATCACATCAGGAGTTAAAGTTTGATGAAAGGTTCTGCCTCCCTCAGTCATTTAGGAAAGCATTTAAAAAGGCAGAATTGTAGGTCATCATGTGCTTAATGAGGGAAGTATGTTAATACGCTACACTATTCTTTCTGTAACAGCTAATAGCAATAGAAAAATAAATTTAGGAGTGCAGGTAGAAAAGAATGAATACTGGAAAAGTCATTGTGTTCAGGAATTTCTTCAACAAAAGTGGCCTTCACTCTGTTTTTCTATATCATGTGCTGAAATCCTGCACCTGCATTAGAACAGGAGATTTTTCAGATAAAGGCAGTGTTACATTTAGGAGGAAAAGAGTCTTAAGGAAGCAATGTCCCATGAAAAATAACTTGAACTGTACAAGAAAATATGCACAGCAAAGCAAACCTGTGTTCCAGGAGTCGAGAGGCCTCCAGGCTGAGTTGCTAATAAGTTTCTCTAACAGCTGCAGCTTCTTCCCCCCAACCCCTTTCTATTCCCAAAGACCATCTTAGAGCAGGAACTTGTAACTTTACAGTGCTTTAGAGGAGAGGAAGGGCCTGTATTACAGTACAAAGGGCAAACCCTGACCTGTGATCCTCAGCATGACCCACAGGTCTGGGCAGTGCTGCACACTCAGCAGCAAGGGCAGCCCTTGGCACAGCCCTGGGAATTCAATCACTGATAACAGCAAGATTCCACACTGCCTTGGGGAAGGAGGAAAGTGTGGTTTAATATTTACAGGTACTTTACCTGCACACAGCTCTAGCAGCAGGCACAGTGTGCTCACTGCCTGGCACAGTCAGGACAGGCTGGCTGCAGGGCTGAGCTGGCTCCCACCAGTCACTGCAGGGAGCTCCAGAACCCTGGACAATGGCCTGTCCTGTCACTGTCTGCCCCCAGAGCCACCTAAGCCACCGTCTACCATGGCACCTCTGATTCTGTCTCTGCAGGAAATAAAATCCTATCCCTGATTTCCAGCTTCATCCTCCTGGCTATCATTTGGTATAAGATGGCAGCTCCCATATGGACTTCAGCACCTGTGCCAGGCTGCACTGACACTTTAAGCTCTGTTCGAACACTCTGCCTTCATACTTTGACAAAGCTTTAGAGAAACTCCATTTAGCTGTGCTACAGACAAGGACCAACATTTAAGAGAAACTTAAAAGTAGATCCATGGATTCAGGAGTAACGTGTGCAGTTACTGTGAGAGCTTTAAGACTTTCAGACACCTGAGGTAGTTCAGTACCAACACTCTTGAGGAAGCATGTTTAGAAACAGTGCAGATTTTAGAGACCTCATGCATTTTAAAGACTTTGAGGAGTCCTTCCCAAGAAGACATTTTAATGTATTTTCCTCAAAAGCCACATCAAGGCTGGCTTTAGCTTGAAAGGCAAAGCAGAGGAGTGGGGCAGTCCTGCAACAGCCTGGCCTCTTCCAACTGCACCAGCAGAGACTGCATTGCTGCTAAGGAACGACCCAGCAAGGCTCTGGATCCACTCTTTTCTAAGTGGCTATAAACAGATTTTAGATCCAAAACAGGGAGAATTAATACAACTTAGCTCTCTCCAGTGATGCTTACTGGAAGAACAAGGCCTCTTAGTGTAATTTCTCCTGTCATGGCTACATCGGAGCACACCAGCCGCCCACTGAAGAGTGAAGCAAGGCAGGTTACTATGGTAACACCAGCAGATGGTCCATCTTTTGTGACAGCTCCAGCTGGGAAGTGCAGATGGATGTCAGTGTTGTCAAGGAGATCAAAACTTCCAGAAGCTTAAGGAAAAAAAAGGAATGGTTTGAATGTTAAAAATCTAAACCCATTTTGTTCCTGGTCTTTATTCTAAAAGCCTACCAAGAACTAAAAGCCTTGGCACTATTTATTAACAGTAGACTGAAAAAAATAACACAATATTGCAGAGGCCCTAGGAAAAACCAACAAAGAAATCCCAATGAGCTTTCCTACACCCAGATTCCTAGAAAAAACTGTAACATGATAAGCAATAAGCTTGGCATTTGCATGCATTGGGAAGTTAAGAATAGGGATTAATGTGGAAACCAAGGAATTTCTACACTGAATTTTTATGTCTCAAACCATCAACTTCAATGTTCAGAGAACACTCCACAGAAATTCACAACTATAATAAAGTGAAACTCTTATTTATGTCCTTTCACTTCTAACGGAGTATGTGGAGTGTAAACCAGAGGTAAACATGCAGACAGGTAATGCTTGCAGCATTTCATACATCAATTCCATTTTAGTTTTTAACCTACCTAAACTTCCACAATAGGGGCAGATACTGGTCAGTTATTTGCCTTATCAGCAGGTGATCAATCTACAAAGCACATTTCCACAAGTTCTGCGAGGTTCAGAAAAACAAATAGCTAAAGTTTTCTTGTCCAAAGCCCTACTGCACCACAGATCCACAGCTGCTATATAAACCCAACATTCTCAGAATACAAAAACTTACACTACAAAAACCTTTTAACAGAACCTTTCAGAGAAAATCTACAGACTTCCACATCTGTCTCCCTCACAGAAATACTGCTGGAAAGCTTGAGTATAAAAATGAGTCAGAGGCAGTGTCTGCCACGACCAAGGAGAAACACCTTGGCACTGAGGCTGCCCCACAACCTTCCAGGCTAGGGCAGGGAGACACAGCTCATGTTCTGCCAGGCCACAACCACCTCGGCCTGGCAGCAACTGGGAAGGAACTACACAAAGGCACTCTGGAGCCGATCACATCTTCAGGGTAGCACTGAAACCCCTTCTCTGTTACACAGTGTGCACAGTGAGTAACTCCCAGGTTACTCAGCGGTGTAGCACCACCAGGCTGAGGTGCATTCCTGCTGCCCCACCGTTGGTGAGCTGGTATCTCTTGGCGTTGCTGCGCAGCCAGCTGATGGCCAGGTGAGCCGACTCCTTCATGACGTCCCCCAGCTGCCCCGTCAGCGTGAGCTGGCCCTCCCCGTCCATCCGGCTGGCTTCCACAAACATGATCTCCCCTCCCAGGGGCGTCCAGGCCAGGCCTATGGCCACCCCAGGCTGGTTGAGGCGCTCAGACACCTAAAGGGAAACACAGCAAGTAGTTTAGGAAATAGCCATAAAAAAATTTGCAAAAACAATTCGATAGCTTTGAAACAATTGTACCCATCAAAACACAGAAGTTAAGCCGAGTGTCTGATCTCTTAATTTATTATTTAATGCAGCAGTAATTCTGGATATGTGTAAACACTAATTACACAACAGGAGCTGTATGTGGCAGCTTAGCTTAAGGCCGTGGCAAACATCTGGGTGTGTCATTCTTGAAACCTTCCCTGCCCCCAAAAACACCATAAGAATCTCCTCAAAGGACTTCAAGTATTCAACCAATCCTGACTGAATGTTTATGTGACTTAACCCATCTGCTGGAGTGTTTGCCCTGACTGTTACTCCTGTCACAAAGCCAGCTTTGCTCCCCAGTGTTCCCTAAAAGCCTTTTTAAAGGTGGCTGCAACTGCCTGAGCTGTGGCCAGCCAAGCCCCCACTGTTGTTCCCTGCAGACACTGGCACTTTGGAACAGCAGAAACATGAATGTGTTCCTAAGCCAGGCAGAGGGGACACCTGACAGAGTCCCCTCTAGTTCCCTTTAGGAATTACAAGCAGCCAAGCAATCAGCAGCTACACTGGCAGCCAAAGCCAAGGAAGCCACAGAGCCACTTCTCCTGGGGCTCTCCCTCACCTGTACACTGGCATCAAAACCCTGCTATTCGCTTTCACTAGCATGATTTAGCTAAGAAAGCTCTTTCTTTCTCTTGCATTTAAGAAAATTGTACAGAACAGTGTGTTTCACTTTTATGGTATCAAAATACCTCACCAAGCATTTTTGCTAACATCAGTTTCTATATCCACTCCCTGTGTGTTATTAATTATGCTGATTTACTCTGATTATTTTAGTAACTGCTTAGCAACTCAGGTTAAAGTCAGTTCATCCTGGTCACACTGAAATCCAACAGCATTGGAACATCACCCTTTGCACTCCAGACAATGCTATTGTGCCAAATCATCATGGTTTCAAACATTACAGGTGTAACGAACAAAATTAACTGTCCACACCCTCTCCCAGCCCAAAGCAGCCACCAGCAAGGTTTGTTGATTTGGGGGTTTTGTTTTAGTTTTTTTAGACTGGACTTTGGATCAAGTGAAAACAGTTTAGAGACTGTTTGAGAGCTCAGGGGCAGAACACAGCAAATGGGACAACAAATCAAAACCCAAATGGTTCTAAAGATTCAGCACAGGCTCCCTCCTCTATCCTCATGCTAGGCAGGTACCTCCTCCTGCTTTCACAAGTCAGTTGGGATCTGTTAACAGAAACTGGCTGTGTAGTAGGTGTTGATTACCTTTGGACCATTGTTCCTCGAATCACCTGGTGCCTCCAAAGCCAAGCAACCACTCCTGCTCTCCTGGAGAGACACTGGAGCACCCTGCTGCAACCTCCTCAGCTGAAAGGCTGAGCCTTTACTGAACCTGCTGACAGGCACACATGGCAAAAGCCCTGGCAGCTTTGAGACTGGCTGCAGAAAAGCCCCTTGGAAATCCCTTAACACAGCCAGAGCCACAGAACCCCCACCAGCAGAGGAAAACACACTGGGCTGCATGAGACACCCACAAAGTGTTACAGGGAGGCCCTTAACACTGAATCGCTCCTGGCACCTCTGAATAATTTCTTCTCACCAAAAGTCAGATGAATTTAAATTAGAATAAATCCTTTCTTACACTTTCTAATCAACTTCAGTTAAAAATGACTGTTTGGATCAGCTGATAGCTGATGATGTCTGTCAGTTGATGATGATGATGATGTCACTGACCTACAAGTCTTGAGGTTTGAAAATTTTTTTGACCAAACCAGTTGTGGTTTAGTTGTACGCTGAGTGCATGAACATACTGTCAGATACATTTTAGCTTCCTGGACACTGCAAAATTTAAGTCTTAATATTCAGCACAGTCATTTTTTTTAGAGGATTTTAGGTTATCATCTGCAGTGTTGGAGCTACACCAAGTCAGTGTAATGGACAAGAAGCTGGTAAGTCCCTGATTCACAATGGGACGATGAGAACCTGTTCAGTCCCTTGCTGGTTTTTAGCATGTTTGTTTTGCTTCCATGGTTCTCCCAGCCTAACTGTACCAACTTTTTTCTACTCTTCTGATTCATTCCTTGACAAATCACTGCTGGCAAAGCACATTAACAGTGGCTTCCCTCTGAGAGAGAAGGATTTCCCAGAAATATCACCACAAGACTGATAGTTCTTAGATAAAAATGCCAATCTAAACCTGTGCTTTGGACAGGTTTTGCTTCTGAAAGACACCCTAATGTTTTCCCTAATTAGAACTGTCCATGTCCCATGAAGAGAGCCATTCTTTTATGGCATCTGCACTTTCATTTCCTAGAATAGGTCATTTCACTGACCTACAGAAGCTGTCCCTTCAATTTCACTCAAGTTATGAGGATATACACCAATCCAGATGGGCCTTCCTGTGGTGCCAATAATATTTTGTTACTTGAGCAGGAATAAGGGTTGAAAGAAAATAAAAAAAAAAAAGCAAAAAAATCCCCCAAAACACAAACTAAAATCCAAGCCAAAAATACAAATAGTTTGCTATAAACCCAGTGGATATGTTAGAAATAGTTTGCTATAAACCCACTGGATATGTTAGAAACCCTTTCCCCCGAAAGCGTGCTGTGCTGAAACATTTCATTTAATCTTCTGCACTTTAAACTGTCAAGATTATTCTTTCAAAGCCTCACTATGTGATTTATTCCAACTTTTGTTCTGTGGGGAGACATGTAAGATTTTTTATTTGTGATAAATGAATTAGTCCAGCAAGGAGGAGCTGAATATTCTGTCACAAATTCTGCTGGGAGAGCTGTGCAGACAATAGCCAAGCAATGCCCTGGAAAGGTGAAAGATGAATCCCTGTGTCAGGAATTCCCTGAAGGACAACAGATCAATTAAGTCATGTCATGTTTTCAGTCCATTTGCTCAGCCTCATGCAGGTACTGACACAGTGGCTGCCTCCATCGTGTCTTTGTTTCAGCTGCTGATAAATGGCAAAATGCAGGCCCAGGGTGAAGTTCAGGCCAGCCCCAGAGAGGAGCCCCAGCCTGTGACTACAGAGCAGAACCCACAGCCAGGCTCAGACACCTGCCAGAGCAGGAACTCTTCCTAAGAACCTTGAGGGGACCTGAGAAAATTCTAAGAAATAACACATTAACTGGGAAAATTCCTTGAAAAAGAATGCTATTGTTGTTATCTGAGCAATTTACATGGAAAAATCCAAAGTGTGTAATGAAAAATATTCACTCAATAAATACAGCAAATAGAACATGAAAATAAATCCTGGTCTGTTTGGGGAACTGATCTGTGTGAATTCATCTCTACTTCTATTTATGCACCAAATTTGCCTCCTAAATATGGAAATGTTAAGAAAACCTTTTGATACAGAAGTCACAAGCTTCAATCAGACTTATTTCAGTTTATGCAGATCCATGAAATGCTTATCTGCAAATTTATGGTATCTATTGTGGACCCCACAACAAATAAACAAAAAACCCACAAAAGAAAACCCCCATCTAGCACTCCTGTATTTGTACACTTAAAATTAAGAAACACACTTTAAAAATTTTACTTGCATTACTTAATCCTACAGAAAAAAGACAAAATAGCAGAAACTCCAGAGACAAAACTGACTCCAGACAGAACACCTAAGAAAAGTCTCATATTAGCACTGAATGTTTACCTCTTGGGAACAGAGGCTTCTGAGAGCTGGAAAGAACAAATGTAAGTTGCTGACAATTCAATTGTTTGCCTAAAGAGCAAATTCTTCTAATTTCTGAAAGCAAAAAAATAAATCACCAAAGAACCATGTGAATGCACTCAGCCCAGAGTCACCAGGCACTGGCCTGTTGGTCATTTATCTTCTTTGCCTCCCATTCTCCCACTGTCCCCCTCACCATCCTCTGTCTCAATCAATGGCACTGTCTCCTTTCAGTTTGTTTCCTCATTTCTGTCTCTTCTTTAAGAGTCTCTTCCATGCTAAAATCTTCATATCCAAAAGCCTCAGTTCAGGTCTAAAAACTGATTCATTCCTTAACAATCACTCATTTTCTCCTCCTATCCCAATCACCTTGTCCCCTTTTTGTTCTTCAAATCCCACTGGAAGTCTGGTCCTCTGATTTAGGAGAAGATAATTGTAAGAGGAAACTTCTCACAAAGAAAGAACAACTGCACTGACACTATGAAATGAGAATCCCAAACAAACTCCTTTAACTAAGTTTAAACCACTATGGCATTGCCATAGAACGCAGCAAAATAGATGGGGAAAGCAAAAAATCTGAAATATGCCTAACTGAGGAGCAGAGCTGGAGGTGCCTGACTGATCATAAAACATTTTAATAGCTAAGAGTGACATTAACCTAAAGAATGTCTGAGAACTGGTGCAAACTGAAGTGGATTTAATACCCCAAAATGCTGCCTGGCTTTAAGGAGGTATGAGGGACAGTCCTTAGCACAGCTGCTGCAGAGACAGGATTCCTGGGTTCTACTTTTGGCTTCTTTCCCAAGACCACCAAAACATCCCCCAAACAAAAGGAAAATTGTTTCAAACTGAAAAAACACCACCACATTCTTCAGCACTGCTGCAGGAGCCTTTGCTAATAGAAAAGTCAGGGCATTATGTTATTTACATACCCTGAATTAAAACAAAAACTTCTTTAGGTGAAAACACACTTTGTGGAACATAAAGAAACACAGTGTTGTTATTAACATATTTTGAAGTTGTTAGCATTGTACAGACTCAGTCAATAGCAATAATCATAACAGCCAGAAACAGCATCAAACAGAAACAAATGAAGATGTTACCTCCATGTCATACATGGGGGGCCCCAGGATATCTTTCAGAGCATGGAAATCAATTAAAATCGGCATTTCAGGTGGCAGAGCCAGGTCAGCCGTGTCATTGATGGATTCTGATTTGGCATCTTCTGTGACGTGTTCTTTACAATCTAAGGGAAGAAAATCTAATTTATAACTTGTAATGGTCTCTCCTAGACAGAGGCATTTTTTTAAAATTGTGACAGAAAAATAAAATATGCAAGGAAATGCTCAGTAAGTTCGGGAAAATGTGCTCAAACCATCTCTCACAAAAATCTTGTCAAATTAAAGATAATATGGCATGAAATTTGATTATTAAGCCTAAATATGTTCTAACTGTTCATCAAAGATAAAATTAAGTCTAGAGCACTGACAGAGATGCAACTCATCAGCTTAAGTGCATTTTAAACTAATTCAAATAGCAAAACACATTAGGCTCATTTAAGATTTTGCACTCTTCACCAGATTTGTGCAGAAAGTCAGTATTTCACAGAATCAGAATGCTTTGGGCTGTAAAGGACCTTAAAGCTGATCTTGCTTTAAGGTCTTGCAGGGACACCTTCCACTATCCCAGGTTGCTCCAGGCCCTCTTCCAACCTGGCCTTGGACACTTTCAAGGGATGAGGCAGCCACAGCTTCTCTGGGAACCTGTGCCACCCTCTCAGGGAGGGGTTTATTCCTGCAGGAGGAATCATGTGCACTGTGGTGTACTAGAGGATGTGCAGCTGAACAGGGCAATTCTGACAGCACAGCCATTGCAGCAGACTCTGATGTGACACTTCTCATGTTGATTTCTGTCTCCTATAACTTTTGTGGCTTTGCTCAATCATAGAAGGGCTTGGGTTGGAAGGGACCCTTAAAGATCATCAGCCCAACCCCACACCACACACAGGGACACCTTCCACCTGCTCAGGCTGCTTAACTCACAAAACTGACACCTCCTGTCTGTTTAACAGCCAGCTCAGAACACAACACCTACAGGCCTTGTTCAGTGGAAAAACCTCAAACAATTTCACTGTAACAACCTGTGGCTTTTGTCTTGAAATACTACACACACAGAGGTCTCTGTTCTTTGTTGAAGGAGATATTGCTAAGGTGTCATGCTCAATAACTAGTAGCAGCAAAAAATTCCTCCAAGGTCCAATTACCAGACATTTTCAGAAACACCTACAGGCATGATATACTCTTCAGGGAGGGCTATAAACCCCCATCAGCCTGACACTTTTGGATGCAATATACTCAAGCGTCACCTAGGAGGGGGAACACAATTAGAGCAATAGTTACAGGCTCCTCCCTTCCTTCACTCACAGCATGAGTGGATTTCTCACCTGTACAACGGCTTCCTTAGCAGAATTGCCTTCAAATCTCTTTTCTCTTTCTGTACAAAAGTGAACTGTAATGGGAACCATGTCACTGTCAAAGTCTCAAACCCAGCCTGCAGAGGAGCTGTTTGCACAACTGAGCTCAAGAACTTGCACATCCCTGGCAGGATCTGACACTGCACAGTTACCAAGGGACTGGGAGGAGAGGGACAATGCAAGCAGGGAATCATTTCCCCACAGAATCTGATCCAGGCACAAGAGGCATAGCAGCATTTCTCAAGAGCCCTAAGCAATGTTTTAGTGAAACATCTATCAGAGAAATGAAGAATGCTTGGACAATCCAGCTGTTCCTGAGGCTCTGTGGCACTCTTGGGGCAGTGCCTCCCTGCCCTGGGGCTGCCCTCCTTCACACAGAGTGAAGACTTTTCTTCCCACCCCACTGCCCTGGGGCTGCCCTCCTTCACACAGAGTGAAGACTTTTCTTCCCACCCCAGACTAACACACTTCTGAAGTCTGTATTACATAGCAATGTACTGAGCTTCAAGACTCCTGCACCATATTTTGGACCCAAATATGGGTTGTTTACTTTCTCTGAATTCTAATTTTAGCTTGAAAAGGAGCTTTCTGGTTCTTCCCCTGTGCATCAATGTGCATCAATGCATGCACAGTAACTGAAGATCCAAGAGTTCAAACAAGTTCAGAAAAACACAAATCATTGATCTAATCTATTCACTATGAAGTGAAGATGTGGTCAGTGATGCAAAAGCAATTCTCAGAATGGATGAATGACGATGACTCCTTTCACAAGATACAAACTATCCTGTTATTAATCCTGATACATAAAGGCCTTTTAACTGATAATTTTGTGACAGTGCAATTCTTACTAATGCCTCAATAGAGTATCAAGAAAAATATTCTACATCATTATTAACATGACAGCAGCAACTCAGCTTTCATTCAGGACTCCAGTGTAACAGTTCTTATCCAACAGCCACTAATCTTTCCATTGTACAACTCACTGCTCCATGGCTAAATCCCATTCCTTTACTGCAAGCACTGCCTTAGTCAGATGTCTCCTGTTGTTCCAGCAAGTCTCTCTGCTTCTGTTAAACTACTATTTTTGTACATAATAAATTCAAAGACATAAATACTGGGAAGTCTAGGAAACTTGACCCTGCATGCTATTCTTGCAATCCAGACTGCAATTTCAACACCATTTGATAATCTGAGGTACGATTTATATTTCAAAACAAAATTGAGTTTAAAACCAGCTGCTTTTGTTCTATACCGAGATTTTACTGCCTAACAAACACAAATCTATTTATTTCACCTAGTTCTGTATACAGCTGAAGAAACAAACTCCTCATAAACAAACCAGGGAATTTGAGGCCACCTGCCCCATTGAAAGAATCAGAAACTCTTTTCTTTGAGTTGATCTGATCTAATGAGTAGATCCCATTTTATAATCTCTAACAATAACATACTCCAGACTTCTTCTAAAAATGTTAACCTAAATTCTGGCACTATTTAATTTTCTACAAAAGCATACAGTGGTGTCCAAAAATGTAATTATAAACTTTTTCTTCAAAGGAAAGAGCCATCTTCATTTATCATCTTTAAACAAGTGCTGACTATGAGGAATCTATAAAGACACAAGTAATTAAGATTTCCACTAACAAAGACAAATGCATATTCCCTACCTACCCCAGACTAATAGCCATAAGCCATAGTACAAGCTAAATGACATTTATCTAAAACAAGACACTTAAATTCAAGTTTCCAGAAACAGAACTTCATGTTAGGACAGTTTAATCATCTTATAGTTAGAGATAAGTTGACAAAATAAGCTAAAAGGTCAAAAAGTGCCCTTAGCAGAGCTCCAAACTGCACTAGAGGAACCACCTGTTGCTCTGCTATTACATGTCTGCTTACACAAAAGCAGCATGGTATTGAGTTGTTTGAACATTTAAAAATTGTAATACTAAAAATAAAAAACAACACATAGACCTGCCCAAGTAACCAAAAATAAGTTCAAAAAAACAACCAACCAAAAAAAGATTATGTTTGTAAAATTTTCCAAGCAGAATCTGCAGCTACTCAAAGATCACAATGTTCTTCAGGAATCTGTCTTTGCAAGTTCCCAAAATAAAACCAAGTCTCACATGTAAATAATGGATTTGTAAGAAAATGGACTCCTAAGAAAACATATTGACAGTAAACTATGGCACAAAAGTTGAAAAAAATGACTGCCACCTTCTAGAGAAGTAATGGAAATGAGAGAATACAAAAATCTAAGACTTCCTCAACATGTAGCAATTTCTCATCTCCTCATAAAACAGATTTATATTAAGCACTAGCAACAAAAGTCTTAAACCCAAACATTTCTAGCCATACTTACTGACCAAGATAGAAAAATAGAAACCTAACATTTTTAAGCAGTTTTTACCATAACACATTCTGATTTGTTGAATTGCTACAAAGAGATATAAAAAAAAAGCACGAGCATGATGGTAGAAAAAGGATGGGATTGCTTTTGCTGACATCAGTTCACATTCAAAGCTAGCCATAACACAAAACTGCACTCTAAAAGCAACATTCCACTATCAAACTTAAATCTGATGCACCCAACTTTTAGGAAGTGTTTCTTTAGGAAGGGAACAATTTCCTGGGACCTTAATCCTGTTTACACTTACTAATATACTTCAATTTAATGCTACTTTTAGCACATTTCTCCCCACAGCATCAGAAAAGTTTTCCTTCCACATAACACTGACATTCCATCATTTGTGACCTACAATAACAATGTGTACTTGAAGCACTTGAATGTGAGGTGTTCATGCAGGAATATTTAGATAAATTAACATGGAAAAAATAACACTTTAAAAATTAATTTGCATTCAAGCCAAACTTTTCAGAACATTTATGCCTTTTTGACCTCCTACAGAGAAGTCATTCCAAGCAATTTTCAGAAATTTCAGAAAAAGGCCCACACTGCAGCCTTCAGAGCAGAGATGAGCTCAGACCCGAGTACCTGCAGTCACACCACCCTGTGACTGATGCTCAGCACATTTCATGCGTCAGTTCACACTGACCACTTTGGTTGCACTTGCATTTAATTTAAACCCAAGTGTTTCATCCACAAGGAGTAGAACAAACTGCTCTGTATTGCTGGGTTATGGAAATATTTAAGTATGTTCAAAACCTTGGTCTCAGCATAAATACAATCCCCATTTCATCACTTTTAGTTATGAAATATTACCTGTCCTAAATCTCCCTTCAGGTCTGAACCAGACAAATTGTTTTTCACTCTGGATTTCAACTGCTGTATCATGATATGAAGCCTTAGTGCACAGTTGCTGCATTGTATTCTCAAGGCAGTTGCACTAAAATAGGAAGGAGAGTTTCACATAGTTTTGTGACTCATAGAATTTCTTGTAGTGTCAAAAGACTCAAAGAGTGTCTCATAAATCTTAGATAGTGTTTCAGTGAAATATCAGATAGCATTGCTGTACACAGGGATGACTCCCCAGAGAGCTCTGAAAAATGCTGAAGGTCCCTGTGCAAACTCAACAACTGACACAAACCAACACTCCTGCACTCACCAACTTCTCCAGAAAGCTCAGGAGTCAGAGGAGCAAGGAAGGTACTAAAAGCTGCCTGTGCATTTCTGGGAAGTGGTGAACCCAGCCTGAGAGAGCGTCTCCAGCCCTCCTAGGAGCCTTCCTTCCCAGAGCCCACTGCCAAACACTGGCAAAAGCCTCATCTTTACAAAGCCTTGAAAACAGGTGCTCTCCCTGGAGTGAATAATCTGATTTAATCAGTGTAATGGTGGAAAGCCTGTGATTCTACCACCTAGTGTCCTTAACTCTTACTACAACCCACCAGCCAGAGGCTGTCAGCTGAATAAACACAACAGGTACCATGGTAGGATTTGGCTGTGCTCTGGATCAGGCACAAATGATGTCTTAGCAAGCAAGGCAAGCCTGCAGCCTGCCCTCTCCTAGTCACAACTCAAGGCATATAATGCACTCACTGCACAGCCTCAGTCTCACATCAGCAACACACAAATGCAGGAAGCTAAAGCTACTTGTTTTTATAGAGATAAAGAAAAAAAATTCAATAAATAATTTAAACTATTAAGGGATGACAACTTGATTAACTAATCTTCCAGAGTCATTCATTATATGAAATAAAAATTCATCATGATGCACAACTGCACAAATGTCCACTAATCAACAGAAGAAAAAATGCCAAAGAAATCAATTTAGGCTGCAAATCCTATTATTTGCATCAACTTGCAAGTAGCTGGAGATATTTACAAGCTTTGTTTTGAACATTTAGTTGTTTCCAACAGACAGAATGCAAATAAAAATATTTTTTAAAAGGCTCCTACTCGCATACACTCCCAGCAAATGACACTGTAAAAACAGACCGGGGTGTAAGCACAGTATTAGTACAAAATAAAACCCACTTTGCAGACAACATCATTCTGTACAAGTCTTTATAAAAGCAAAGTTTCACTGCAGAGACACCTGTCCCTCAGACTCCCTTTTATTAATACAGCTTTTTCTTATGGACAGTTTTCACTTCAGAAGTACAAAGGCAACCCTTCACAGCTCGTTTATTTCTTAACTCCAAACTGGGTCAACCAAAAAAGCCAGCATTTTGCCCCCTTTTGAAGCACTTGAGATGTTATTTTCACTTAGCTTTGGTACGTTGCAAGTCCAGAACTAATTTTAACAGTGTATAATTTTAACAGTGTAAATACTTCAGCTGCAAGCACAGCGCTAATTTTAACATGGTAAATAACTCTCTCACTGAATTGAGATGTCTAATACAGCTCTTTTTTGTACCTGCCTCAATAATAAAGTGTTTCTTCTTACAGTACCATGAGTTGTGCTCTGAACCTACCTCTTGTCTAGTTTACCAGAATGCTTGAAGAGCAGAATGACATCTCTTTTTATCCAGCAATTTCATTAGACCTCTGAAACACATTTTAAACAAAGCTAACAACTTTGAAAATATGACTTGTCCAAGTTACCATCCAAAAGATGCAGCAGCCAGGACACCTGACACTGCCTGGCCCTGGTGAGCTGGGCCAGCACAGCCCAAAGGCTCAGCAGTCACACTGATGGAGAGAGCACAGAAGCATCAACAAGCCAGTGTTTGATTTCACAAAGTCCATCAGAGCACAGAAAGCAGAGAACACACACATAATATAAAAGGAAAGCATTGATAAATATGCCGTAAAACCTCTGCCTTTTAATGTAGATGGAATGATTTGATTTGCAGGATTGTTCACAGAACAGTCACCACTACTGAAAGCCCACTGCCTTTAAGCCAAATGTTCAGAGAAAACCAAGCTGAGCCTGCTTAAGCAAACACTGCCAAATTCAACCTTCTGATACTACAGTTTTCACAGACATTATGGTGACCTTAGAAAACTCAGCAGGGTAAAAGAAGATTTAATTTTCAGAAGGGAAATACTGAACTAGGGAAAAAAGGCAAGGTAGAGCTGAAAGACTGTCAAGAAACAAGATTCTCAGAGACGTATTATGTAAGTTTTTACTGTGGGTAAAACTTCTTCAAGCACCCTTCTAATTATTACCACTGCTTGTAAAAATATCCCTTATATTTCCTCCCCTGGGATTTACTCTCTGAAAGGGGTGGGCACTGTTGAGACTTGTTTGCTGCCTTGTTTTAAAGGAACAGACAATGAATCCCTTCATTTGTCCTCCTCCAATCCAGACCAGACCTACTCCTAAAGGTTTTTTCCACATCAACTACATTGTGGAATATTTCAGAACATCAAACCAACAGGGCCCTGTTTGGTATTTTAAGTCTGTAACCTGGAGCAAAAGCAAGCAGCCATTCTGCAGTTTTCAGATTCCAGGATCCTCTGACACCCAGCTGCTCTCTGACAGACTGGCAGAATTCGTCACCTGAACTCATTTCAGTCCTCAAAAAACAAACTAACGGAACACACAACACCCTGCTGAATAGATTTTGTTAGACTAAGAGTTATCCACATTTTAGAAGTTCAATCTGAAGTTTGCAGTTTGTCCTTTCACATTCCTAATCTACCTGACACTGAGGGCTCCTGCAGACATCCCAGTGCTGCAATGAGCACTGCAGAGCTCCAACAGGAAATTGCTGAATAGAGCAACACCCTCCATCAGTATCTGGCTGGAATAAAAGCCAGGGCCATCTACAGTCTCCATCATATCTTTCACCAAATACAGTGTGGATGTTCATTTTTGTTAAAGAAAACACTCATGGGGGGATGAAAAAGGATGAAAAAGGGACCTGTTGTGTGCTGCACGTGAACTGGATCATGCACCTGACTTCATCCTTCTCCTATTTCCAGACTAGAAAGAGACCTACCTTTACTGGTGAAGCAGTTACCTGGGTATTTTTGCTGCTCAAGAGTTTTGTGTTTAGCTTTCTTTCAGTCGGTTTGATGACTGGGAATGATAAAACACTGTCTGTACACATGGGAAACAAGACCAGACTAACTGAGGCTGAGAAGTTATTAAAGCTCCAAGAGACTCTGAATATGCCTGGTCTTAAAAGGCACATAAGAACAATTCTAATTTCAGAGCCCTTCAAGCAGATAATTTCTTCAGTGTACAACAAAATAACCAAATTGAGTTCTAGGAACTACAGCAACACTTAGTTTTTTATTAAAGAGAAGAAGTGAAGGATTTGCATTAAAAACCTTAGGAAGACATACACAAATCATAACTGCATCACTAAGACATGAAACAGATGCACTGAACTTCTCAATTACCAACTCAGCAGGCTGAAATTACTCAACTTATATCCTAAGTCATAATTCAGCACTAAAACTGTACATAATAATGTCAACACTATCTGCCATACTTTTGAAAGCAGAGTCCTTAAAGAAGAATAAAACAGGAGAAAATGTCACTAAATTAGCTTCCAAGTGAATACATGAGAAATTTCCTTTTTAACAAAACATGACAAAGATGCTCACCTTCTCCTTCCCCCACCTCAGCACGATCTGGCTTTGCTTCTTTGTGCTGCCCTTCTGCCACTTTCACAGCCACTGCTCTGCAAATGGCTCCCAGCTTCCGATCCAGGGCCCGCACTCCCGCCTCCCTCGTGTACCTGTGAGAGACAACAGCTGTGCTGGGCTGTGCTCTGCAAGACAGAGTTCCTTTCAACAGAAACCCACTCCTTACTAAACACACAGACAAGTAAAATGGGGTGGAAAAGGTACCAAAACCTTGGACTACTCTAATACATAGGAAAAAATATTTTGTTTTAATCAAAATAATTGTCACTGCTGATAAAACTGTAGACAAATTACTGAGTGGGAAGACATGACTAACACCTTTGTGAAATGCTAAGCAATGTCCAACAGCACTGAGTTCTTCTTGGATGCTTAAAAATTAAAAGGAAGAACTATTTTAAAACTTAAAATATATAGCTCACTCGAAGTTGAGAAACTGGCTGTAAAAGAATATTTTGTTTTGGTCTGTGAACTACAAAGAAGCACCAGGCAGTAACACTACACAAAACAGCCAAAACACTGGTCATAAAATATTTCAATTCATTGAATGCCAATACACTTTTTCAATTGGAAATGAGGTAGTTTCAAGTTCAAAAGATGTTCTGATCAATACATTTGCTGTCATGTCTAACAAAAGCCCCAGTTCTAATGAATAGAAGCTATTTGAAAAACCCCATATTTTAATTTTTAAACCTAATTCCAAATCTAGACAAATGTACCCATCAAGTCACAAGGAAAAAAAGAAGGATAATTTCCATTTTTTGTATGAAAAAGATAGCAATATAACTTGTCTCTTTAAACTGCATGCTATCTGCTGCCAAGGCCATGGCTTCACATAGTGCAGCAGCCACACCAGCCTCAGGTGTTCCTGTTTATTCACAAGGCCTTGGCAATTGTGTCAGCACAAGGGATGGTGAGCCACACCTGGAGAGCAAGAGCAAGAAATTCTCTACAAAAAGGATGTTCTCTAGAGAAAACAAGAACTAAGGAAAGAGCAATTTCATAAACCACCAACTGCTGAACTGCTGAAACTATTAAGGACAATACATATTAAAATGTTTTTCTATTACCACTTTATAAACAGATTTATAAAAGAAGTTACTTAAACTGAAAGCAATGAACAGATTTACCTGGTAATTATGCCCAAAGTGGTTACTTGGGGAATCTGTATTTGCTGTGGAGTCAGACCATGTAGTTCAAGCTGTTTAGGAATCAAGTGCCTATGTGCAATTTCAATTTTTTCTTCTTGTGTGTATCCTTCAAATAAAAAAAAAATAGTATGTAATTTGTTCATGATCTTTTTTGCTTAGACACTACAATACAATCAAATCTCTTATATTTCACAATTCTACCTGATTGAAATTAACAAAAAACCTCCCCCAGCTATAATTTATAAGGCTGTTAAGGTATGATCCTTTGTGGCTATTCATAACTTCATGTGAACAAAAACAGAATTTTAGTGTTTCCAAGAACCCTTCCTCCAGCAGAATCTTAAAAAGATGCATCAGCCAACAGACCATTAGAATACAAACAAATCAGCGAAGGAAAATATCATTACAAAATGTATCCATGTACCACCACAGACCTGGAACTGAATTTTCCTGAGTGCAATGCTAAATACCATTCTGGTGACAGAGGCCACAGCAGAGGCATCCTGCCTTGTCCCTTTTAAGGACTCCATATTCCTGGCAGTCTTTCCTTAACGAGCTGCCTTTCATTTCAACAAAAACGCCTCAAACTTGCTTAAGGACCTGCAACAGCCATGTAACGAAGGGACTGCAGTGTTACCTGGCACCTGGATAACCTCCATTCTGTCCAGCAGGGCGGGTGGGATTGTAGCTGTAGTGTTGGCTGTAGCTATGAAAAGCACTTGGGACAGGTCAAAGGCTACGTTTAGGTAGTGATCGGTGAAACTGTGATTTTGTTCTGGATCCAAGACCTTAATAAGAGTGAACACAAAAGTGATGCAATTGTGTGATCAGAAGTAAATAAAATATACACATTTTTATTATATTCCATTTGGATCTGTCAAATCTGACTTCACAGTAATAAAATACATTATGGATGTCACTAAATCCTGGCCTTGTCTGGACTACTCGTCACATCACATGTACAAGAAGTCACTTCTCCATGAGTTGTTCCTGCCCTTTTCTAGAGGTGCTGCAGCATTTCTCCAGCCATCAAGCACCTCCCCTAAGCTGTATCTCCATGACCTTTCACACATAGCAGAGTGGCCCTTCAAGGACTCACAGCAAACTTGGAAAAGCAGCCCATGTGGCCCCACAGAACAAGGAGAGCTCTCCCAGGAAATCCTTGACTCCAATCCTCACCTGCTGCTGGCAACTCTTCTTACTCAAAGCTTACATCATACTCTCACACCAGCCCATGAGATCTCTCTTGTGAGACCAAGGGGAGGAACACAATCCCAGCTTTATCTGCTGTCACTAAATCACCTGCCTCACTCATTCTGCTTTGTCCAGCCTTTATTACTAATGGAGGAGTACAAGTTCTTATTGTCCATGACATCCCAGGCACGCTTTGACCCTTTGGCAAGCCCTGGCCTTCCCAACACAATCATTTTTCTTTTTGTCCCAAAACAACAGAGACAAAATTGAACAAGCACTGCAGAACAAAAACACACAGTCTGATCAACCTCAAAAATTAACTGAACAAGTAGAACTAGGGCTGTAATAACTATGTTGTCTTCCTATCACTTTTATAGTACTACTTATGTGTGCTAATGCAACATTTGCCTAGATTTAACACAAGGGTACTGAGATGCTGTTTTGCAGATTTTTTAAGTGGCACAAATGGTAAGTTCATTGTACATATCAATTTGCTCCTGGGTTCTGTATCACCTGTGAACTACCTTTGCTTCACAGCCCCCTTGAAGTACAGCCACACTCTTCCTTCCCAAATGATGAATGATCAGTGCTACACCAACACAAATAATTCTCATGCCACAAACAATAGGACCCATGCATCTCCTGAGAAACAGCACACCACTGTCAAAATAATTTATCTGCCTACACCCAAATGAATGCACACAACCTGAATTATAGCCAAGAACAGTGTTGATAATTAAAAAACAACTGAATTTGAGGACTTCTTTGATAGTTATAAAAGAAACAATTCTAAGTTTCTATTACTCTTAAATTTTCCTCAGACTTTGAAAAGTGGAAAAATCTTTTGAAAACATTTATGATCAGAACAAACTAGAAAAATCCTACTACAGAATGCCAGAAACACAGCTGACTTTCCTAAAAAACAGAATAAATTCAGATTTTAATTTCAAGTGCTGCACAGATTTAAAAGCAGTTACACATTTCCATTAATAGTGAAATCTTCAAACATACTGAAGCACATGCTTCAATTCTGAACCCAGGGCTGGAACTCAGTGAATGCCATTGTGCACTGGCTCTAAGCTATTCAAAAGCTTTTCTTTCCCTCTTCAGCAAGCAGCTGCTGTCATTTACTCCCTCCTTTACCAACAAAAGCAAAGGCCTTGAAGTATCCTGACAAGCCAATGTGCCTTACCTCAGCCAGGCCCCCAGGCCAGCCCTAAACTACAGGGAAACACAACAACTGGCAGGGAATGCAAGCACAGCAACTACAAACTGTCCTCAAAACAAGCAGTTCTATACCAAATATTAGCCTCCCACTCAAAGTCTAGTCTTGCACATTATTCTAAACTGTTTGAAACAGCTAATCCTAATTCAATTTACTCCTTTTTTTTATACTGGTAACAGTATTTCCATAGAATTCCAATCTATCAGCTGAAGTGTTTGTAAGTAATTCCAAAGCTACTGAAAAACAATGTATTCTGACAGACCAAATTGACATTTTGACACATTTATTTGCATGTTTCTTTCTCCTTCTAGTCTGCAACTAGAAATCCTTATGAACCCTCCTAAGTGCCAAGCTGGTGATTAGAATACTATTTACAAAGATGCAAAAATACTGATGCTCTAGTCACATACAAAAAATACAATCCAATAAAGAGAAAGGAAACTATAATCCAAATCAGCTCAGATTATATCTAAAAATGTGAATTATCTGAGATCTTTTACAAGGGCAGGACATCCTCCAGACTCAATTCTTTGTCATGGTAACTGTTTTTTAGAATAAGATACAAACTAATGTCCTGCCTGTGTATTTCAAACAGATTCTCCAAAGCAAATAGAACTGTTCTTCAGTTAGGTATCTGTGCTCAAGTTCAAGCTCAAAAGTATTCCAAGATATTCAACTAATACAGAAATATGAAGTACAAAAAGAACATTCAGTGCACAAAATATCTTGGCTAATTTATGACAGATAGCTCACATGCATACAAAGGCTTCTCTGTAACAGCTTTTTATTACCACAAAATCCAGAATAAATTCCATGAACATTTAATTGCCTGGCTATGCTCCTGGTCTAATTTTCCTGCATACAAATAGTCACTATCAGGCACTTGGATCCATTTCTGTTTTCTTCTGTTTTTAACAGAGGTCATCTAAATTTAGACTAAAATATTCCTTTGTTAATGAACAGTAACTGGAAATAGGAAGATACTCTGTCTTCTGAAGCAACAGCTCTGCAGAAGCATTAGAATTAAGCACATATCTAGCAATTAGAAAGTACCAAGCTTTGCTCCCAAGCTCAAAGGGATGGCAATTTTCTTCCTGAACATGCCCTGTTGTGGACAGCAAGAATTTAACACACCTACACATTAAGGAATAAAGGATGTGCCTTTCATACCTAATGATGGCACTTACCAGACAAGCAACAGTTTCAAAAGCAAATGCAGCCATTAGGTGACCACTGACTACTGTTTGTTCTCCAGCAGAACAGCCACCTCTGCTCACTCCAGATGGACTTTCCAACAACATAAACCATGAGAAGCAGATGAAAATGAAGCTATTATGTCCAGCCATGAGCTATCCTTTAGAAGAGGTAAAGCACCTGCTTCAGGATGTTTAGCCAGCAGTAGAGGGATATAGAAAGCTCACAGGGGAGCAGCCCAGCCATGGTTAATAGAGCAATTACTTTTCCAGATTCAACTAATGGGCAATTAGCAGGGCTTACATAAACCCTGCAGCCCAGGCAGGCAGTGGGATGTGAACCTTATGAGCCCCAGCTGGAAAAATCCATGGCAGAAGCAGAGCTGAGTATCACTGAGAATGTGGTTTTAAAAGATGGAAAACAGAAACATCTCAAAGCAGCAACAATGTACCCAGAATTCAAACTCAACTAATTAAACAAGTATTAATTAAATTCATTTGCTCTCACAAATGACATAATAGAAAAATACAACTGTTCTCTACTACAGGACAGGGAATGTTATAAAACCCAAGAAAATGTATAAAATACAGAGAAAATTATAAAACCCAGCAAAGGTTGAATAAAATTGCCAATATGAATATACAGATCTAGATTCATGACTGGAACACTCCTTCCAAGAAATCTCAAATCATTGTGTCTGCATAGCAAACAACAACCAGCTAAATAGAAAAATTTGATTTTCAGGTATTTTTATCCATGCATTGACTAGAATTAGGACAGCCTAGTTCAAGTATCTAAAAGACGAATGACAGGAGAGGTATCAGCAAACTCAGAGAGCATTACATTTTCAGCAAAGTGTAAATAAAATCCCCCAGAGGAATAGTACAAGGAATAATGTATTTATTACACTCCCCTGCTTGCTGTCTTTGCACTTTGAGGCCCTTCATGCACCCTAGAAATGTGTACTATACACTTGAGAAATGCACAGGTAAAGGACCATAACTGTCATTTTTAAAAGCTAAAGAAGTGAAGCCATGCTATTTTCTAGCACATTTAAATTATTACTAGTTCATGTTAACATGCAAAGATCAAAACAGAGCTCTCAAACCACAGCCTGTTCATACACTGATTTTCAAAGAACTTGTTGGCCTTGTCAAAACAGTAATTTTCCACTATCTAGCAGGAAGAAAATAATGACATTTGTAGAAAGTCAATTGACACTTCATTTGCAGAATGTCATACAGCATCCAGATGAGCTCATGACACCTTAATTTAAGTAGCATATTTTTCATATTTAAATCACTGCATTAAGCACTGTCAGTCAAGAGTCATTAGAACGACTCTGTAGGCAAATACTATCAGAACCACTTTCACCTCCACCTACCAAAGCTACCACAACTCTGACAACTGAGATGTTTCTAGGATTATGCCCTAAGTCACTTCTCTGAAAGTGAGCCAGGCTAGCTCAAAAAATGTGGGTATTTTTTACTAATGCCTCTCCTTTTGAGTGAAACAGGTACAGAACCATGCCAGCAGCAGTGCAGCTACAACAGTGGGAGCATGGCAGCCCCTAGGGCCAGAGAGAACACAAAAGAGAAGGCAGAGTGTAAAACTACAGCAGTACAAGGAATCTCTAAGCATGCACAGCACTAAAACCATCACGTGCATTGTGCTGCATCTGCCCTGGCAGCCTCAACACTTCAGGCTGGCCCAGCCCTGCTGTGCCATCCCCTCCCTCACTGCCCCTTTGCCATCCGTGCTGGCACAGAAAGAGGGACCCAGCCATCTGCCCAGGGAAGGGCAATGCTTTGTCTCTTCCCCACGTCTGAGGATGTGCTCCCTCTCTCCAGCAAACTGCTAGAATAAAAGCACTGCATATGCACAAATCAGTGGAAGAAGGAATTGCACTGGGATATCATGTCACACTCCAGGAAAATGGAAATTGAGAAGAAGGTTCTGACAACTCCTTACTGCTCTCTGCTATATGACACATGAAGCTTGCAAGGCACAAGTCTCAATTCATCTTCTTCATGATCACTCCAGTTTTGGCCTCCTGAAAGCCCAACTAACCTAATTAATAACATCTCAACACTTGATGGGATTTACAAATTATTCCAACAGTATCTCATTCACCAAAGTCCTCAATTGTATCTCCAGGATGTTACTAGTATTTTTAAGCAAATCAACTTAGACAACTCTAAAACCTTTTTGATTAAATAACTGTATTATGTGCTTCAAAACTAAATTCATTCACATCTTAGTCTGAGTACCAGAAGTTCAGAAAAAATGCACTCATGGAAAACCTGACTAATGGAAAGCTAACACTCATCATACCATAATCAGCCAAATACTCATCACACCATAATCAGTCAAGGAGTGGGAATCTGTGACTTACATGAAAAACCTAAGTTCAGACAGTTAATTACAACACTAATGAAAGGAATTCTCCTAACAGAACATACAGCTAGTCCATATTATGCACTGGGTAAACTGCTTAGCTCCAATACAAGCTGGTACCATCAAGAGCTTCAAAAATATATTAAAGTGGTTCCAAGAAAGAAAGGGAAAACTTAAAGCAGTCTAGTTACTGTCTAGATCCTCTACAGTTAACAACATTTGATCATTAAAAATCTGTGTCCTGAAGTCCCCCAAATAAGTGATGTTTAGGGTTCGAACACTATTTAAATACAGAAAACACCACAAAATCTATGCTTGTGCTCAAGTACAGCTCACTGAGACTTATATGTTACTTAGCCACTATGTAACAGCATCTGCATCGTGCCTGAGGAATTGACAGAAACCCACCCATGTCAGAACTCAGCAGCTGGTATTTGAATAACAGATCCAGCACTGTCAGGCCTTCTTTTGTCCAACGAATCTTCTGAGTCCAGTTTAATTATTTTAAAATCCAAAAGAAAAACAATGCTTGCAGTTTAACACCTCTTACCTCAAGCAAGGCTGCTGCAGGATCCCCCTGCAAGCTCTTTGCCAATTTATCCACCTCATCCAAGAGGAAAACAGGATTGTTCACCCCTACAGTCTTCAGGCCATTGATGATCCTGCCAGGCATGCTGCCCACATAGGTGCGCCTGGAAGGGGATGGGGAAAGAGGGCAGTGACACTGGGAACAGGAGGAGCAACATCAAAAACATCACAAATAAAACTCCAGGCAAAATAGAAGAACAAGGAACACTGCAACAATTCTCGGATTTTTTTGCAAAAATTTGTGGAATACTTGATAAAAATGTGGAATATACAACTGAGCTAATACAAGCAATTATAGCAGCAGATGAAAATTTGAGTTCCATGGTGAACTAGTTGGTCTGCAAAGATGATCATTTACATTAAAGTGTATCCAGAATTTACAGCTTGTGGATATTTTAACGTGTTCTAGTGACCATCATCCTTGTACTGTAAGAATAAGCAGAAGCACATTTGGGAACTTCATTAATAAAAGCATTTTCATAATTACAGTGCTGGGATTTTGTCATCATAACAGAGTTCACACAGCATGTCACAAAAGAGCAAAATTCCCATTATGCTGAATTGTCAATGCCCCCATGACAGCATGCTTTAATAAACACCCACCAAAAATAACCGTATTTACTGTCATTTCAATATGAAATGAAAAGCTGAACACTGCAATGAAACAAAAAATGACAAGTTTGAATTTATTCAGAAAATCAGTAAAATCATTTTCCCACAACACACATAGAGCACAACTACATTTTACAGATGTATATAACCCTTGTTTGCTGCATTTATCCCACTCTCTTCTGCTTGTGCCATAACTACTCAAAATACTATAATTAAGAGCATAAAATTCTAGGAAGAAAGAGATACATTAAGTGCTGAATTACAGTATCTAGCTCATGACCCTCACAAAGCAGACAAGCAGAACAGGCCTGCTTTGCCATATGATCTGGTTTACCACTGTCCAAAACAAACATGATGACATTTACAAAGATGAAACCAAAAACACCACGGGACTAATTTCAAAAATGACTAGACATGACTTTAAATATATAAAAAATACCCAAAAAACAACAAAAGCAGAACCCAAACCACACAGCAATGGTGTCAGTTCCATGTATTATTTTACCACTGAGGAAATAAATTGCAGTAAATGTATTTAATTCTAGATCTGAGAAAAAAAAATAAAAGGTTTTAAGACCTTCTAAACAGCCAGCAATGCAAGAGAAATTCAGTTTGCCTGTTACCACCTTCCTGAGGCAGCTGCTAAAGACTGAAGCAGCCAGCAGGCAACAGTTCCTCACTTCAGTGCTTTTGTGTAGTCTTAATCTGCAGCAAGGGAGCGGATTGCTCTCATGGAGGGCTGCGCTGTGGAACATTCATTACAGATCAGGACTCTGCATGGGGAGCTATTACACAGCCAGCCTGCCTCCTCCTCCTCCATCTGCACACCCACAGCCTTGCCAAGACAGGGAAAGCATTCTATGAAATGCAATCAGAAAATGAGGAGACTGAATCAGAGCTGGAGTTCACAGAAGTGAATCACTTACCAGTGTAAACAAATTTATCAGTGTAGCAATTTAGGCATTTCTTGTTTTGGGGGAGATTTGGGGTTTTTTCAGTTATGGGTTTGGGTTTTTTTTCTTTTTGTGGTTTTGGGTTTTGTTTGGTGGTGGTAGCTTTGATCTTCTCTGGGTTTTTTTTACCACAAGGTGCTCACTGCACTAGAGAGTAATTTTACATGCTTCAGAGACAATGCAGCCCAGTTTCAGTATTTTGCTTATGCTACTAATAGGGTAACATAATCAGGTAAACATCAAACATTCTTTGTTCTTGCTTGCTATATTATTCTCAAGTGCATGCTTAAAAACATTACACTTTTTTAAAGCATGTTTGTGTTTTTAGATACAGAAAGTTTTACTTGGTCCTTTTGAATCCTACAAAGATTTGAGCTATCCATGTTCCATTGAGTTTTAAGAGAGGCTGGTTCATAAACTAAATTAAGGCAAGCAGATGCAACAGTCTAAACCTGTAGCACCTCTTTATTTATTAGAGATGGACCAATACCTATTTTATTATACTAATAATCAAATACTTGAGATTTCCAAAGTTATCAGGGAACACATCTTGACAAAAGAATCCTTGGTAAGACAGGCCCTGCAGGTATTTATATATAAAACCAGACAGAATATATTAAAATTACAAGCAGGTATGGCCATTTATCTGTCTGACTGTTAACCTTTGTTAGATGTAAGGATGTGAAACTAAATGCTACTGTTTAGGAATACTATCACTGAATGTGATGTTGATTTCATTATTTTTGCTAGGGTTGAAAAGAGGTAAAACAATATTCTACATTGCTTTGCTCATTTTTTGATGCAGTTCCTTTCCCTGCATTAAACCCAGAGGACAGTCAGTTCTCCCCACCCAAAACAGGAAGCACAGAGCAAGTTTCCTATTTATCTCACTTGTGTAGCAATACTTAAATAACTCAACCCCTAGAGAGCTCCAGGCAGAGAAGGTAACTTAGTAATCTTTTTATGTAGTTTTAGATCAGTGAAAAAGTACCTTAAAACAAAACACTAGAGCTGTACAGTATGTTATAAGGCACTATGCATCCTAGAGAATGCAAGAAAAACAGCTGGGAAATCCAGCTTTCTTGGTTCTCTCAAGGTAAACTGGGAAAGCCTAGGAAAAAGAGCCCTTAAAGCAGTGGTAGTATTATTGAAAAAAAGAGGACTCACTTCACAGTGATCTCAAGACAAACAGTTTGAAATTTTTTTAACTGCAGGGGTATAAAAGGATAACAAAGTTAACACCACTGTTCCTGAACATCCTTGCACAAGGTCACAGCCTTTTTTTTTCCTTTTTTGTGCAAGGCCAGAGGTTGTGTCCACTCACAAATCTACCTCTGCTTTGCACTTGTCTAACAAAGCTCATTCCTCTCATGGGTGAAGCTGTCTGCAGTTTGTTTTTTTCTGGTGCAACAAGGCCTGTGCAAGTTCTGCAAGGAAGCAAGGAAGTTCTGCCAGCACAGCTGTCCTGGTAAGGAATCAGTGCAGAAAGTTCTGCCAGAGCAGCTGTCCTGGTAAGGAATCCCACCACCCCTCAAACAGGTGCACCTAAACAAGTCTTCTTTAGCAAAGGCCTAAGCCAGAATTGAACTGTCCAAGCTTTTGAAACTGCAAAACAGTGGAATATAGGAAGGAGTGCTTCACATGAAGGTGAAAAAGAAGAGCTTCACACTTACCTCACCAGCACCGCTATAAATAAATGGCACAATTACATCTTTTCAGAAATAGAAAAACACACTACAGAGATGATTATACCTGTCCTGTTTGATACAAAATATCAATACTGAGCAGATTTTAAAAGCGATGAGCTTCTTGGAAAAAGTTGTAAGTCATCCTTCAAAGTGGTTTGTGGGGTTTTTTTGTTTTTTTTAATATAAGTATAAACAAATGTAAACCAGTATACTTTAACATATCGTATAGATGAGTTGTAAATGCAGACAACAGCTGAATGATATCTGATCAAGGAGTTCTGGTTTTGTACCAAGAGGATGATTTTGTTTTGGGAATGCAGAACAATACTTGCTACCCTACACTCAATCAGTGAAGGATTCCCAAGCTCCAGGTGCAGGCACATGATCCCCAGTGAAATGGCCAAACCTGGGCAGTTCCAATTGTCACATCTGCACATCAGGTGGGACAGCACAGTTACTGAAACACCAAGCCCCGCCCTGCTGCTCTCCAAGAGCTCTGCCGAATCTTTCAGTCTGCACCTTTCACCGAAGTGGCCCAAGTGAATGCTATTTCAGGCACTGTTAGCTTGCAAGTCAAGCTGAAACAGTTCCTTTTGAATGTTCTAGTACATTTGGTACATTCTTCTGCATGTTCAGTACATCAGTAGGCACATACAGTACTGTTCTCCTGCAATGTTAAAATAAGGAGCTTTTAGAAGAAAAACAGTATTTTCTAAGGTGTAATATTAGGAAATTAGCTTGCTCAACTCAGAAAACAGTCTGCGTCTTCACTTCTAGACCACCTCCCTTTGACTGACACCAGATGCACAACATGGATTCACCTGACTGGGAAAAACTTGAAGGATTTATTCACACAAAAGGACATTACAGACCTCTACAGAAAAGTTGTAGTTCTAATCTGATTAAATCTCATTCTGAGAAGGAGGAAAACAAGCCAAAGTAGAAATTAAGATCCATATGCAACAAGTGGGTTTGATTTTAGCTACAAGAAGCTCGAAAAAGCAGTTGGCTACAACGGACTCCTAGTACCAACTGCTCTAAAGTTCATTTTTAAACTATACACTTACTTGTTGAACAGTAACCACACAATATTCTTGCTAATTCTAGATTACATTCTCCTTTTCTGGTGAAAAATAAACTCTCTTAGCAAATATTTCCCATTGCCTAATTTCATACACTTTTTAATATGAAATTTATAATGGTTGGCCTCTAACATGAATTCATAACTTAATAATGCTCTCAAAAATGTGTGACAGCCACAAACACCTGAACTAAAAAGCTTTATGAGGCTCTCTCATATCACTCCCCTGTCTTTACTCTTTACGAGGTTCAAGCACAAGATAGGAAGTTTGACTTTTGTTTATAATGTCAAGTTCAAGATGTGGTTTCCCTGTTACAAAAGATTTGAGTCCTGCTCTGCTCTGGAAAAGTTTCTTTCCATAATGCTGAGTATTCCACAGCCTCTAGTGGCTCCAATTTGAATAGCACATGTTGAGTCATATTTGAAGTTGTTTTTAGGACACTCTATTTTAGGTGTATTCTACTGAGAGTAGCTGAATAGCACTGGGAAAAATTAACTCCTAGATGGCATTAAAAATATAACTGATAGCTTTAATTCACAGTATTCACCTACTGTTGTAAGGAGAAATTTTATTCAATACATGACTTAAAAGAAAACCTGACTAGAATTCATTATTCCAGATTTCCTACAGTGCGTGCCATAAGCATAAAGTATGTGTAATGGAAACAAAAATGCTGCACTGATGCTTGGCAGTTACCTATCTCTATTGCCCAGTTATTATGCTTCCAGTTACAAGGATTCAGGAATGGACTAATACAAACTTAAAAGACTAAGTAGAAGATATATAACAAACCCAACATCTAAACAGTCCTAAGGAATGTAATCCAAAAAATCTCCTTTGAAACCTGCCAGCTTAGGTGTTCTTGCATAAATCTCTTTTTGAAATAGGAAAACAGGGCATTGCTATCCTCTAGCAACTTTCATGTATCACTCCAGGTTTCTCCTTGTCTTTTAGCAGCAAACAAGGTTATGAAGGAATGCATTGCTACCATAGGTTATACTGGATAATTAAATCTTTACATCCCTCCTAAAAAGCAGAAAAATCAAGAGTTTGCATTAAACTTCCTATAGAATTTTACTTCAAAGCGCTAAAATAACTGAAGATGAAATCCATTCCCTATGACAATAAAGGGCAGTAGCAGAAGGAAAGAATAAAGGCTGTACCACAACAATAAACACCAATTCCCATTAAAATTCTCTCCCAAGTAACACCACTGAATACCACGGAAAATCAATAAATACCTACCATTGTTTCATAGAAGCAAAATTTCTCTGTATTGGCTGAACAGTAAAAATAATCAATACATTCTGCAGAGAAAAAAACTGCAGCTAGGGAAAGAAGAATTACCTGTGGCCTCGAATATCAGACTGATCACAGACTCCTCCTAAAGCAATTCTGTGGAATTCTCGACCCAAAGTCTTTGCAATTGATCTTCCAACACTGGTTTTACCAACTCCTGGGGGACCCACAAAACAAAGAATGGGTCCCTTGAGGTTGTTTTTAAGCTGTCGGACAGCCAAGTACTCCAAAACTCTCTTCTTCAACTTCTCCATGGCATAATGGTCATTATCCAAAACAATCCGAGCTGCACGGATTTCCAGGCGATCTGGCATCAACAACAGCACAGAGATCAGCACATTTACCTTAAAAAGGGAAACAATTCATCCTACAGTAGAAACAGATATCTTCATCAGGGAAATCCCCCAATTCACACACGTATTTCAGACAATGATTTTCTAAAGCAAAGGTATTGAAGTTCTTCTTTAATACGGAAATTAGACCTAAGGCAGACAGATTATAGTACTGAAAATGACACAGTACTGATAATAACCATCCAAGGCTAAAATTATCATGATTTGCTATCATGATTTTCTAATTCTGTATGCATGTGTGTTTTTATTCACTGTAGCTACAGAGTTCAAAATAGCAATCACATGGGTCACACTCACAAACTTTGCTTAAGGTAAAAACACCAAACTTCACATGACACAGAATAATTTTAAAATATCAAAGAGCAACTTCCACCAAAAAAACATTCTGCTAGGATGTGACTATCAACAAACATTTTAGTCATTTGAGGAGTCTTTGAATAATACCACAAAGTACATGTAGGCAGATTTTTTTTACAATTTAATGATTAAAGAAAATATGTACTAGAAGATTTGTAAACACATCTATTTCCAACCAGCAACAATTCCTCACTAGAAATACCAGCAGAAGGGTAGAGATGGATATGCAGGTGTGCTAAGTCCACCTTGTGCAAAGGAAGTCTTCCCACTTAGTCTACTTGTGCTGGTCAGTAGGAGATGTCTGTTGGTCATGTTTGGTTTCCTACTCTTCCCTCACTCTCCATTTTTGCACACTGTATCTGTATTAACAGCATCACCCTCTACTCACAACTCCAAAAACCATGGTACGAAGCAGACACAGATTTAGTGCAGTTCTTCTACTGCACCCAAGTTGTAGTTCATAAAATTAAATACAACTGTGCTTTTTAATCCTTTTGTTTCTTATCAAACTTGCTTAAGATAAACCAGAACCTTTTTCAGAAAGGCCAATGTTACAGAAATCTCCCAAAGAGCTTTTTGTCTGACATACAAAAAATAATTAGATGCACATTTCTTTATTATTTTTGATAAATACTGGCACAAACTGTAATTAGTAACACCTTCATTTGTCAACAAAACTATACTTACTACTTTTTAAATCCACATTCTTAGATTTATAATTGAGCTACACAGGCTCTGTGTACAGCTCTCACTGAGAGTCTAATGGTTTACCTGGCTTGCAGTAATCTATCAACAATGATTTTACAAGACAGAACTAATTCACAGTGTTTACATGGTAGCTACTTTTCCTAAAATGTTTGTGCAAGAGAATCAAGGAGAAGGGTTTACCTTTCGTACTCTTGTTCCATGGCAATTCTACCATCAGTTCCAAGTAATTTCTTGTCAAAGCATATTCTGGCATTGACTGAGGCATCTTCTTTAATCTGGAAATGTAAGTACAGAATTCAAAAGGCCAACCAGAAATTAAATGCAAAGGAAGCCTCTACTGCACCGCAAGGCGGTGATTGCTACCTGAGGTTTAAAATCATTTCAAAAGCACAACCAACGTGAACATATATCAAACAGGAAAAGGTCTGCAAGATTTGTTTTAAAATGTAAAAAACCCCACCATTTAAAAGCCTCCTACCTTTTTATTTCTTTAAGACAAACTTTAAGAGCTTGTTCTGACATACTGGATGTTCTAATCTTTTTTTCTAGCATGACAACATCATCATGATCTTCTTCTTCCTCTTCATCTTCTGTAATGCTCCCATGACTGAATTTTCTATTAGGACGAATAGCTACAACCTGTGCAATGGAAACAGCCACAGAATTGCTCCAGGTCTTGGTTTTTAAATAAGCTGTGTAATTTGGTTTTGAATGAAAATCATGGCAAAAAACATAAAAATTCACAGAAAAATTCAGAACTCCAGAAAGTTTTAACTCAAAAATTAACTTCAAAAATTGTTATTTGTGTTACTTTAAAGAGTTACAGTTCTTCATATATTTCCTTAGTGAGTTTATCATATATCCTAAACTAGCAAACAACACAAAACAGGAACAAAACTGAAAGGAGCTATTTGCGATATTTCAAGCACTGCAGCCCATCATATTAAGCAGAATAAACTTACTCTTTACAAAATGGGTAAATCTCTCATCTTTTTTAGTTTCTCAATGACTTCCAGTTACTAAACTATGTAAGTGCAGATAGATGCAGCAAAAGTGAACAAGCTCCATTTCCAACACCCATTGTTATCTGTAGTTCAAAAGCTGCCACTCCTCTGCAATGCCATCAGTAAAAGATACACCTTTCACTGCACAGGCCAGAACACACTGTGTGTATACACTGCACATGAACTGACTCTTCAAAGGAATCTGAGCATTCATTTAATGTCACAAAGTGCTCAGATTAAAATAAAAATTCAATTTAAAATAATTAAAATAAAGCCTAGGCAGTTTTAAACAAATATTTTGTCTTTTGTGTATCTACACAGCCAAAGTTTCCAGCTGGGTGTTCTCTGCAGTTCCAGACTTGATCTCACACTATGGCCATACATTAAAAAAGCACAGATTAAAATCATGCACTCATTAGCCTGCTTAAAAAGTGCATCTTAGTACTTATTTACATTTTTAAATATTCCAGATTTAAAGCTCCATACCCTTTTATCATCATCCTGTTTGGACTTTCTTGTTTTCTGAAGCAGCTTCAGGCCTTCAATCTGTCTAACAAGCAATGGTATGGTCATCTTGAACCGTTCCTCCAGCCTAACAGCATCTAAAATCTAAGAGCAAGGAGTTGTAAGCAGCCAAGTTCACACCAATGAATCCTCACTCTGGGGGAACATGGAGGTACTGCTACTGTCTTTTGACCAGAGGTATAGAATAGATGGATTTAGGAAAACAGGCAGTAAGAAAAGCAAGGAGAATACAGTACACAAAATCTAGCCTCAAGGGTCTGGAGGCCTGAACTACAAAGCATTTCAAACTAGATAAAATTATCTTATCCAGTCTAGCTTAAAAATATCTTAATATTTCAGTTGCATTTTCTGTGACAAACATCTATCAATGTCCTGTTTTTCAGTTACTGGGCCTCAGGAAAGAGATGGTCCCCTTAAGAAAGTCACAGCACCATCTCCTTGCGTAACCCAGGGAAAAAAAAAATCACCTTGTGCCTTAAAGTTTTTGTTCAGAGATTTTTTGTTTATTTTGTCTTTTTAATATTTTGCACACAATTCCACTTTCATATTAAATGAAGTTAGTATGTGGAAATGGGTAGACTTCTGCTCTTCTGTACTTCCATAGCTTCCACCAGCTGCTCTTTTCTTTAGAACTTCTAGTAAAAAAGAAAGTGATGCACTAATAACTAATGTACCTTTCTCCAGCACGATATTCAGCTACAGTACACAGCTTTCCTTCAAATTATTGCATTAATTTCTACTTGTGGTGCTTTGAAAGAACCTAACACACTTTCAATTCCAGGTGCAGCATAAGCAGTTAGAGAAGAAAAAGAACATCTTTGAAAACACAGCAAGCAAATACAGAAATCAGATGAATAAGCACCAAGCCATAAAGATCATTTTTGCATAGATTTACTTTGACATATGACAGAAATTTAACCACTTAGTGTTTAAAGAAACCCAGACTTCAAGATGTTTTAAAAAATATTTAATTCTAATATTAAAACAATTTTAATTCTGAAGTTACTTGTATTAAGGTATGCATAATGATCAGTCAGCTGGGATAAGTAAGCACAATTTCAACACAATCTGAAGGAAGATTTATCATCTTTACTGTGTTAAGTCCATGCTCTACTTATTGTTTAATAAAATGAACCATTTCTAAGATTTCCCATATAGATCCAAACAGTTTTATTTACCTTAGGTGAGTTCTGCCATATGCATATATAAACACTTTAAACAACACCATCAAACCATTTTGCAAGCATTCACACTCAGTTGTGACACAAATCTTTGTTGGCATGATGTTATCACTATAGTCACAAGTGAAAGCAATTCCAAAATTACCTAAAAGTGACTGACTTAAAAAAGACAGCAATACCTAACTACCATTAAAACCGCTGATGAACATGGTACCTGCAGCTTCTCTTGGTTGGTTGTTCGGATGATAGAGGTCAGGATATCTGGCAGAGCTTCTCTGGGCAGATTGTCCAGGAGACGCCGGAGCTTTGCGACTGCAGGCACTGACATATCCAGCATCTCAACCAGCTACAACACACAAGGAACAATGCTTAATGGCCACTGGCTTTCTTTTAGAATTATCTCAGTGGCTCTCTGACCTAAACAGGATTGTGTCTTTCAGTGTGCAGCACATCTAGGTAGTTTGCCAAAAAGCTACTGCAATAAGTTCACCAAAAGTTTGCAGATGAGGCACTAACTCAGCATAGAGCACCAAGACCTTGAGCTTTCTGCTTGTTTGAGAAGTTCAAAAGTATCATCACTATTGTTTGCAGCATTTTTTTCAATATATACATCTCCTATTTCCCCCACACACCCTAGTTAAAAACTTCCCCATGACTCTTTTTCGATACATCCTTTAAATTCCAATTCATTATACTTCTATTGTATGTATTTTATTACGTCTCTGTAAAATTCAAGAAAAATTAATCAAATCTTTTACTAGAATGTATTTATAGTATTGCTATATATAAAACACCTACTTATCATAACACCAACACAAGCAGTTACACAAGACTCAGCTGCAATGAGCTGTGTAGACATCCTGGAACTTTGCACAGAAACTTCAAGATGTAACAGTAACATTTATTTCACAGCAGAAATACTGAAACTCTACTCATCGCTGAAAAATATAGGAACTGGAGATACAGAAGGACGGATAGAAAACAAACAAAAAGCCTAAGTGAACCCACAGGTTATGTGACACACAAGAATAAAACAAATTAAGTACCTGTACTGCATACTTGTAGAATTGTTCTGACAGCTCTCCAAGCTCCTCCTCAGATTTATGGCCATTAGTGAACTGCTCAAGTCGATCTAACTGCTGCACTTCAGCAATGGGATAGGGCTTCTCCTTCAGCAGCTGCAGGACCTGGAATCTGCAGAGGCCTGTCACCAGCAGTGTGTAATGGGGCTTGGGCCAGTTGCTACCGACCACCTGAACTGCCAGGGCAGCAGTGCCAATCCTAAAAACAGACCAAATCCTTGTATTATGCCACCTGCCACAGAACATTTTGTGTGCTCCTTATCTGAAGTAACCAAGCTTCCGATGAACCTGCTGGGACATAGTTCCTATTATGAAATGAAATCAAATTATCCAATTCCCTTTGTAACACAGGTTACAAAACCAAACCTTAAAACCTGAACGAGTTAACTGAAAAACTAAGTAAGGCACTGTAATACAGTCGTGCAATTTAGAAACATATGTAACTTCTTCATAATAATGAATTTGGCTGTGGGCAGGCACACTGACGTTTCTGCTTAAGTAATATGCACTGGGAAATAAGAGTGTTCGTAAAGGACGGTTCTTCACTTAATTTCCCGGTCTGGTACTGAATCCCTGTTTTCCATCACCTTAGCTACTTAAACAATTTACAAGAAAAGTTACTTTCTTGCAACATCTAACCACGTCCACTGATACGACAAAGTTCGGAGAGTAAAGGTTACAGCATGTTAGTTTCACCACAAAGAAATACAATTTGGTTTTTTTTTATGGGAACGAAGCCAATATCCGTGTTACCTATTAGGTGAAAAATGCTATGGTTAACAGCTGCGACAGCCCTAGATTTGCATTCTTTCGTCATATTTTGCTCGCCCACCTTAGCCTCTATTCAAACTTCCCCTCCGGCCAGCCCGTGCCGGCACCTCGCCCGCTGGGCCGGCGGTGCGAGGAGGCTTCTCGGAGG